CCACTTTTTTTACAGTTCCTAGAATTAACATACTCTCATGTTTGGCCAGGAAAAGATACGGATAGCTCTTTATGTGAAAAGGGCAGCGTTGCACTTCATTGAGGGTACTATCGTTACTAGATTCAGTAAAAAAAAAAAAAAATTATTTCAATTGTCTTTTTTCTGAATGATGAGGTTTTATTTGATACAGCTGCTAATCGAGGTGAGCACAAGCTCTCAGACAATGTCAGGCAAACTGGTTTCGGCATTGAGCCGGATGAACTCGCAGCCATCGTTCGGTCCCAAGATAACAAGGCTTTGGAATCTCATGGGGGTGTTGAAGGATTGGCCAGAGAAGTCTCTGTGTCTTTGAATGATGGGGTTGTCTCAAGTGACATATCTATTAGGCAAAATATATACGGCCCTAACAAATATGCTGAGAAACCTGCCAGATCTTTATGGATGTTTGTTTGGGATGCTTTGCATGATTTGACATTAATTATTCTCATGGCATGTGCTGTGGTCTCTGTTGGTGTCGGTATTGCAACTGAAGGTTGGCCAAATGGAATGTATGATGGGGTGGGAATAGTACTTTGCATTATGCTAGTGGTGATGGTCACTGCAATAAGTGATTACAGGCAGTCCTTGCAATTTAAGGTCTTGGATAAGGAGAAGAAAAATGTTACTGTTCAGGTTACCAGAGAAGGTAGAAGACAGAAGGTTTCAATCTTTGATTTGGTGGTTGGAGATGTTGTTCATCTATCAATTGGAGATGTGGTTCCTGCAGCTGGCATTCTTATATCAGGCCACAGCTTATCAGTCGACGAATCCAGCTTGTCAGGTGAGAGTGAGCCGGTGAACATAAATGAAAAGAAGCCCTTTCTTCTATCAGGAACCAAAGTACAGGATGGGTCTGGTAAAATGCTGGTGACAGCGGTTGGTATGAGGACTGAATGGGGTAAGCTGATGGTTACTCTGAGCGAAGTCGGGGAAGATGAAACACCACTGCAAGTGAAGCTTAATGGGGTTGCAACTATTATTGGGAAAATTGGTTTGGCTTTTGCTGTCATGACATTTTTGGTTCTGATGGCACGGTTTCTAGTGGCCAAGGCACACAACCATGAGATCACAAAATGGTCTAGTAGGGATGCTCTGCAGCTTCTAAATTTCTTTGCCATTGCTGTCACCATAATTGTTGTCGCCGTTCCTGAAGGGCTTCCATTAGCAGTTACACTTAGTCTTGCATTTGCAATGAAGCGATTAATGAAAGATAGAGCACTAGTGAGGCATCTCTCTGCATGTGAAACAATGGGTTCTGCGTGTTGCATTTGCACAGATAAAACCGGAACATTGACTACAAATCATATGGTGGTGAACAAAATATGGATCTGTGAGAAAACAAAATCAATACAAACTAATGATAATAAAGATCTGTTGATGTCCTCTGTCTCTGAAGAGGTGCATGGAATCCTTTTGCAATCTATATTTCAGAACACGGGATCAGAGGTGACCAAGGGAAAAGATGGAAAGACTAACATTTTGGGGACGCCGACAGAGACAGCAATAGTAGAGTTTGGATTGCTTTTGGGAGGTGATTTTAAAACACATCATATCGAATCTGAGATAGTGAAAGTCGAGCCCTTCAATTCAGAAAAGAAGAAGATGTCTGTGCTTGTTTCTCTTCCTAACAACGGTGGGTTTCGAGCTTTCTGCAAAGGTGCATCAGAAATAATTTTGAAAATGTGTGACAAGATTTTAACTGCTGATGGCAAAGCTGTGCCACTATCTGAAAATCAAAGAGAGAAAATCACAGATGTCATAAATGGTTTTGCCTGTGAAGCCCTAAGAACTCTATGCTTCGCTTTCAAGGATATAGAGAAGAATTCTGAAGCAGATAGTATACCTGACAACAACTATACTCTAATTGCTGTTGTTGGAATCAAGGATCCTGTACGCCCTGGGGTGAAGGAAGCTGTTAAGACTTGCTTAGCTGCTGGAATCACCGTGCGGATGGTCACTGGTGACAATATCAACACTGCAAAAGCCATAGCTAAGGAATGTGGCATCTTGACAGATACTGGCCTAGCAATTGAAGGGCCAGATTTCCGTACTAAGAGTCCTCAGGAGTTGGAGGAAATAATACCAAAACTTCAGGTCTTGCAACTTCCTCGAAACTTGAATAACTTACTCTTAATCAAGTGGTGAAGTTCCTAAAATGTTTAAATGGCAATGCAGGTTATGGCGCGATCATCGCCTTTAGATAAGCATAAATTAGTTACTCAATTGAGGAATGTATTTAAGGAAGTTGTGGCAGTGACTGGAGATGGTACTAATGATGCTCCAGCCTTGGCAGAGGCAGATATTGGACTTGCTATGGGTATAGCAGGAACAGAGGTTTGTTAATGTCCTGGTCCTCCTGGATACACTTCCTTATTGTCTGTTTTGGGTAATTCCAGTAGGCAGTGGCTCAGCATTTTTCTCCTCCTTCCTGCAGGTAGCAAAAGAAAGTGCTGATGTTATCGTGATGGATGACAACTTTAAAACCATAGTGAATGTTGCAAGATGGGGTCGAGCAGTTTATATCAACATTCAGAAGTTTGTTCAGTTCCAGTTAACAGTCAATGTCGTTGCCCTGATGATCAATTTTATTTCTGCATGCATCTCTGGTTAGTTCCTTTGCATCCCTATCCTGCTAAGTTCTAAATGTTAATCTTTTATTGATCTTTCTTTCAAGGCCTTAGGGACCAATGCTTGGAGCACTAGTTGATTCATAAACTTGCAGTAAAAAGGATGCAGCTTTGAGAATCTAGAGCAGTCAATTCATGGAAAATTTTGAAGGATAATAATGTCCTCAATTCTCCTTTTCAGGACCCTCTTTTTCGCAGAACTTTAACTGGATAATATGCTGCTACTGAATTTCTTCTGGAGCTTGATATGTGCACTTCAAAAGACATGACTAAAATTGGTGAAATAATTTGCAGGCAATGCGCCATTGACCACTGTTCAGCTGCTTTGGGTGAACTTAATCATGGACACTCTTGGTGCATTAGCATTGGCTACAGAACCACCTCATGATGGACTGATGAAAAGACCTCCAATCGGAAGGAATGTAAGCATAATCACCAAGACCATGTGGAGGAATATCATTGGACAAAGCATCTATCAAATAGTTGTCCTTGTCATCCTCCAATTTGATGGGAAACATCTTCTGAAGCTTTCGGGTTCAGATGCTACTAAAATCCTGAATACATTCATATTCAATACCTTTGTTCTCTGCCAGGTACCATGCTTTGATCTTCAACTGCCTTAGCATCACCAACATCTCATCGAAATTTCATTACTAAATATCCAATATATGTTTAGGTGTTCAACGAAATAAACAGCCGAGATATGGAGAAGATAACTGTCTTCAAGGGCATCTTTAGTAGCTGGATTTTCTTGGCTGTCATGTTCTCCACGGTAGTTTTCCAGACTGTGATAGTTGAATTCTTGGGCGCATTTGCTAATACTGTTCCATTAAGCTGGGAATTATGGCTGGCCAGTATCTTAATTGGAGCTGCAAGTTTAGTCATTGCTGTCATCCTGAAGTGCATTCCTGTTGAAAGCAAGAAAGATGACAACACTGCCAAGCATCACGATGGTTACGAGCCTCTTCCTAGCGGTCCGGATTTGGTGTAGAGTGTTCGACTTTGTGAAGGGTCTAAAGCAAAATACCGTAGGCAACATGCATTGAAATCAGCAGCCAAAATCAAGTTTTTTATACTGTTGATGTGGCTTGCCCTTATTTGCAGGTGGAGCTGAAACATATATTTCCTTCTATTATTTGAAAGTAAGGTCTTGTAAACGAGCGACAAGCACCAAACTAACATATTCCCGATACCTTAATATTTGTTGCGTTGCAGTTTGCTTGGATTGTCTGCAGAATTTATGGGAGATAAGGCAAGAAATTGTACTTTTGGAGTGGGAAACTTACGATTTGTTTGCAAATACTTGATATTCTTTATGGCAAGTTTCAATTCATGAAATTTTATAGACATGATAAAATAATAAATTTGCAATGCTGAAACTGAAGGATTTGTACCCCCTTTTTTTCTTTTTCTTTTTTTTTAAGAAAGCTAGAATCATTTTACTTTCTGAACTCCTTATGGTCAATGGAGAAAGAAAGTATGAAGCAGACGGTAAACTGCAAATAGGGAAGGAAAATAACAATTTATTGACTGTAGTATCAGGTTACATAACTTGCATTTCAAACAAAACTTTATAGGCCTCTGCTGCCCTGCCCTCCTTCCAAAGATAATTGATCAATATATTGTAAGTAACAACATCCTTATTAAAATGCCTCTTCTTCATTTCACGAACCAAAGATTTTGCTTCCTCAATCTTCCCTCTCTTCACAAGATCGGTCATCAAAACACCAAAATTCACAACTGCAGGTTTACACCCTCTGTATTCCATATCAAACATCATCTTTTTAGCCTCATCATGCTCGCCTATCAAGCACAAGCCTTCCATTAACAAAGCATATGTTACCGCATTTGGACGTTTCCCTTTCTTAATCATATCCTCTAACAAGCCCTTTGCCTTATCCAACTCCCCATTTCTACACAAAAACCCAATAAGACTATTAAACGTCACAACACTGCGTTCCACTTTCGTCTCAAGCATTTCTTCAAACACCTTGCAAGCTTGCTCCCACTCACCCTTCTCAAATGACCCCCTGATCATTACATTAAAGGCAACCGCATTTAAAGGAAACCCCAATTTACAAGCCTTATCAAACAATTCATTGGCCACAAGAAACCGATCATTATCTACATGAACATTGAGTAGACTATTCAAAGACGGACGCGTACGGACACGGTTAAAGCAAGTCATTCTATGAAAAAGCTCAACAGCCTTATCAACCAAATGGGCTTTTCCACGATGTTGAAACAAAGCAATGAAAAGGGTTTCTTGACAATGAACATTATTATCTTGTACATAACCAAGAACTTCCTCAACCGCTTCAAAATCTTTACAACGTGCAAGCTTGTATGTGAAAGCAGAGTGCAGGGTGCAGGTGATGATAAAGAATTTGAAATTTGTATAATAAATTTCAAGTTTGAATAGGGTATATGTTTTTTATAAAAATATAAAATAATTAGTATTTTACTCGCTCAAGAATCATAAAATAAATTTTTTATGAGATAAAGTTTTCTCAAATTAAAAAAAAAAAAAAAGGAGAGTACAAAGGGTAGTGAGGTTTAAACCCCGTTAGGAGATCCTCCTTAGATCCAATATACTCGGGTAAATTTTTTATAAAAGAATTGGGTTTAAAATTTATAAAATAAAAGTTAAATTAAATATAATTATAGATTAAATTCACTACAATTATATCTATGAACACCATTCAATTACTGTGTTATTGAGTCAAATTAATCATTTTTTTAAAAAATAATAGTGTTTTATTTTATTTGATGTTGATTTGATTATTTTTAAACTAGATTTAACTGAATAAATTATATAGTTAAAAACCTGATTTATCAATTAGAATTTGATTTTTTCAAGGGAAAACTCTTATCCTGAATTTGCCGAATCAAATTGTTACATCAAATTAGGTTTAAGAACTATAATTATTAGTTGGGATTGATTTCATTGTCTTCTATCAAACTTCTAGGCATTGGGTCAATTTTTTTTATATAATTATTTTCCTCTCAGTCTAGCAGGTGAATCTAATAAATATATATTAAAACACCAGTTTGGCAGACAAATACCTAAATATTATGAATAAATAATTGAAGTGGTTATGCGAAAACAAAAGGATGACATGAATAGTACAATACAATTCTCCAGCAAAACCTCCATCCTTCACTTGATGGATGGAAAATACAATATTTATGAGGATATTAATTGTTTTTTAAAATTTATTTTACATAAAAATACATTAAAATAATATATTTTTTAAAAATAATTATTTTTATATTAACATATTAAACTAACTTAAAAATATAAAAAAATAAATTTTAACAAAAACAAATTTTAATTTTTATCAAACAGCAACCTTAAATGCATTTCATATTTATGCAATAGTTTCTTATAAAGAACAAACCTAGCATTTTTTTTTCATATATTACTGATACTCTAAACAAAAAAAAAATAGTGAGAAGGTTTTCATACAAATTAGAACAAAATTTTTCAATTGAAATAATAAATTTATGATTGTTTCATATCACTTGCAATTCTTTTTTTTTTTAGTTTAATAAGCTTTTCTCCAAAACAATTTATAATTCAAGACACAACTAATTTTTTTTATCAAAAAAATAAATCATGTCATATACTTAGCATAGATAGGTTATAATAATAATAAAAAAAAGTATTAGATATATTGCTTCTTATTGTCACACCCGACATCACGGCGGCCTTAAAAATTTAAATTCAATCTTTAGAAAGAACGGATTTCTGGCATCCTGTTCTTTAATGAGGATATTCGTTATTTGAGGAGTCGCCACCTAATATTATGGTCATTAGGAACCCTAACTGGTCAACAGAGATTCTGTGGTATGGAATTAGTTATGTAAAAGAGAAGATATTATCACCCCTTAAACGTTCTGCCTGAGGCAGACTGCATTGTTGGTTTTGTCTTAAATTGATAAATGTTTATTAGTTTACGCTATGATAATTTGCTGATAATATTCCTGACTCTGGCGTCAGTGAATATTCAACTATGAATATCTCCACCTCTAGCGTTGGTAAATATTATGTAGCTATAAAAATAAATTAGATCAATATTTTTTTATTCCCTACTCTAGCATCAGTAAATAAATAAATAAAAATAAATTTATTTTTAAGCATGCACACATTTTTTCTAGCTAAATAAAATAAACATAACGAATAAAAATAATATAAATTTATACCAGTATTTTTATTCCTGACTCTGGCGTCAGTGAATAAACCAATAAATTTACATTATTTTTATTCATGCATACACCTTTTTTATTTTTTATTTTTTTCTAATAATAAATAAAAATAATATAAATTTATACCAGTATTTTTATTCCTGACTCTGGCATCAATGAATAAATCAATAAAACAAATTTATTATTTATTGCATACACATATTTTTTACTTTTTATTTTTTATATATATTTTATTTTTTATTTATCTTTTTATTTTTGGGGCAGGCGTGCTTTACGCCTGCCTGCCCAATGAATTATAATTCACTTGCTACAGGAGCAAGTGAATTATAATTCACTGCTACTGTAGCAGTGAATTAAAATGCCAAGGAAGCGGGGCTTACCTCAGTGCAGGAACGAAGATGATAACTGAAGCATGGTGGCCGGCTGTTCTCCTCTCCTTTTCGTTTCTTCTTGTTCTCCACTGGTATTCTTTCCTCTCCATTTGTCCTATGCATTTTTTTTGAATTTATTTCTGTAACAATACAGAACAAGTCTGGTGCAGCTGCAGAGTGCAGGTGAAGACGATCAGGCAACCGCTCACGGTTGAAAATCCTCTTGCTGTTCTAGTGTTGTCGTCCTGGAGCTGCATTCTGCTACTGCCAGAGGAAAGCTTGCGGTGCTGGGTTTGTTAAAGATGCTGCGCTGGTGAGGACAAAAAAACGACAGGGTAAAGGGCTGTCACAGTTGAGGATGGCGGCTTCCGAGGTTGCTGAGATCGGTGCAGCTGCTTCAATGGAGGACTGCTGGATGTTCACGGCGTGGAAGAGCTGCTGGGGCTCTGTAGCTGCGGAGTGAAAGCGAAGACGAGGACAATGGTAATGGAGGGTTCCCCGACTGCTGCTGCTTTCCCCTCCGTTCCTGTTTTTCTGTGTCTTCCCTAGTCTTTCTTTCCTGTGCTGTTGCTTTGTGCTAATATTGGGAAACGAAGGCGAAGACGATGGTTATGGTAAGGTATGTTTGTTCAGCTGAGATGGAAGGCCAAGGCTGGTGTAGTGGCGATCTTGGTCTCAAGAAAAGAAAAGCCTCGGAGGGCTTCTCTGGCTGTTTTTTTGGTGACTGGGGAAGAAAAGGAGGAAAAAAATCTGGGGAGAGGGGGCAGCGGCAGCTAGTCTAGGATTCTGCCGCACCCTCTCTTTTTTTCCTGTAAATGTTTTTTTTTTATTTTTTATAGGGTTTTTTTTGTAATGATCTTCTTTTAGAGTTTCTTCTTTTTCTTAGGGTTTTTTTCTAATCATTTTCCTCCTCCTCCTTCCTCCTTTTTTATACTCTGAGATCTATATTTATAGTGTTAGAGTCTCTTCACGTGTGAGAAACCAAGTTTCAATCAAACTCATTCTTTTCTTTGAAATTTGAATTTGATTAAGAATCAAATTTGAAATCGGATAACTATTATTATCTTAAAGATAAGGATTATCTCGAAGATAAAGATAGAATGATAAAAACACATTGTAGTCCTTAATTTTCACGAAAGTTGACAAATCGCACTTTTCATCGAAATAAATCTCTGATCTTTTAATTTTTTATTTTAAACCTTGTAAAAATTAAATTAAAAGCCAAAGAGTCAAAATTGGGTTATGACACTTATCACTTACTATTTCACAACTAAATCATAATTTTAAAATGAGTTTGGAGGGAAGATTCTAAAATTATTATTTATAAATAATCAAAATGATGTTATTTTGATAAAAAAAATCAATGAATTAATAGCCAAGTCAACCTAGACTTTTAATTAGGTCATCTATTTTTTTTTTTTTTCATCCTATATTGGTCCAGACCTTGAATTATTTAAATTTCAGGTTAACTTGCTAAACTAGTTTAGATTTTAAAACTACTACAATTGAAATATCCATCACTCAGCATAAGTATTAAGTTGCATCTAAATTAAGCCATTAAATTGGTTATCATGTCAAATTAATGTTGAAATAATTTGAGTGATTTAAAAAAGTAATTATCATGGTAGTATAACTTGAAAATTGCAGAGAACATATATAAAATGCACAACTAAAACACTATAAAGTTTACTATGCACATAGACACAAAAGACTATTTATTGTGATAGTAAAATTATACTTATATCCTCCATAAAAAAAATTATTTGACATGATTTCAAGGGTGGTTTCTTCTTGTCCAAAGGCCAATTAGCCATTAAAGATTTGTAAATGGTTATTTTCATCTCTTTTATGAATAATAAAAAACCTTATTTACTCCCATAATAAAATAAAAATTAGGCAACTGATAAGGATATTTATATCTTTATATTTTCTACAAATTATGCGTTGACTTTTATGTCCTAAAAAAGGCAATAGTTTAGGGGTGATTTAGTCTTTTTACATAGGTTTTTTTGTTAATATAAAAAATATGAAGGGTGTTTTGGACTTTTTGCTCTTAATAATTAATTTTTTAATAAAAAAGATATAGGAATTTGGACAACACATGTTGATCCATGGGAGCTACATGTGCCTTTTAGACAATGTGTACGACACCTCTCTATAGCTAAATCTATTATTTCATTGTTTCAGTAAAAGCATTGTCGCTCCTTTTTCCTCTTGGTGCGAAACTTGATGATGGTTGATGAGTGATTTATTGTCGGTGGTGGTCCCTTTTTTTTCTTATTTCTTTTATCTCTTTTGCTGAAGTTCATGCATGTCCTCTTTTCTTTTTATTTTTTCAAGTTTGATCCTTGTGTTTTTTATTATTTATTTTAGTTCTTGAATCTTTTAAAAAAGTTTTTAATGTTTTTAATTTAGTCTAAATATTATTTTTTCTAGTTTAGTTCTTATTCTTTTGATTTTTTTTCTTCATTTTTTTGTTAGAGTTTTTTTGTTTTCAATTTCATCATTCAATTAAAATTTATGTTGTTTTTTTCAGTTTAGTCCTCATTCTTTTTATTTTATTTTTTTGCTTTTGTTAATTTTTTTTAAATGTAACCCTCCAATTTAATTTTTTATGCCCTCTAATTTATTTTTATTTTTGTTTTTACTCTCATTCTTTTAATTATATTTTTTTGTATAATAGGTTTTTCCCCCAATTTTATCTTTCGGTGTTTGATTTGTTGGGAGGCTTCGCGGTTTTTTTATTTGTTGTACTTACAATCTAATGATATAGGTCACGAGTTTTAACAATTCATATGGATAAGAATTTTATCATATTGCCTTATTTTTTTCTTTAAAAAAAATTAATTTTGTGGTTATTATCAATTTCTTTTTATTGATTTATCTTGGTCTTATGATTTAGGCCATGAGTTTTGTAGTCTTTTTAAGATAGATGTTTGTTTTTTTTTTAAAAAAATGTTATTGTTTTGTATTTAATTTTTGAAGAAATGTTTTTATTTTTGCATAGTTAAGCTTTATTTAAAAAAATATATTTATTTTGAAATAATATTTCTAATATGTTCAACTTCGCCTAGTATTTTTTTTCTTTTATTTTCTTCACTAAGTTTCATATGTATTTCTATTTCTATTATATTTTATTTATTTTAATAAATAAATTTAATGGGCACAAACATGTTCTAATCTTATAGCTCAGGTCACGAGTTTTGAAAGCCTTTTTTTAATTGATTTTTAAAAAAAATATTATGTTTTGTATTTAATTTTTGAAAAAATATTTTTGTTTTTACACATATAATTTTTATTTTATAAAAAATGAATATATTTTGAAATAATATTTATGATGTGTCCACATTGCATAGTATTTGTTTTTATACTCAATTTTTCTTCGTTTTCTTTTTGCTATTGTTAACATTTTTTTTTTGTTTATTTACATTGGCAATTATCAATATATATATATATATATATATGAAGTCAGTACATATGAAGTCAGTACGTGGCGTTATTATACCTAAGAATGATCTTAAAAGATTGGGTCACAGGTTTCTAGCCTATATACTGATTTTATGAAAACAAAAATAAGATGCAAAAATTATAAATAAAAATAAACTTGAAAAATTATAAATTACAAATAGATTTCTGATGCGAATGAACAAGGTAAGACCAACAATGTCAGGATCCTTGGTCAAACACAGAGCATACTTATCTTATCAAACATAAAACATAACAAAATCAAAAGTATCAACAATAAAATAGAATATTACGTAAATTTGTAATATTAATACAAAAGATATTGGATACAGAGGAGAGTGGAGAAGGGTCACAGGTATGTGTTCTGAGAGGGAATGAAATTTTTCTAAGAAAAATTCATAGTCTGCCTTTAAAGATGGAAGGGTCTCCTTTTATAGACAAGTTGACATGGAAGAGGCTAAAATGTCTTGTTGGAGATTCTGTCAGAACCCATGTGAACCCATGTGGTGTTGTCTGCCATGATTGAGTGAAGACAAGATGGGAAAAGCCCACGTTTTTGGTTGTTGAACTTTTTTTTTTTCTGTTGTCTTCTAATCACCGACAATGGATTTGTAGCAGCAGGTAATATTTGTAACAAAATAAAGACTAAAACATAGGGTCTGAAAATTAAAAAGGGACTCAAAACATGTGAGTCAAAAGATAAAGCTCTAAACAGATGAGCCTGAAAAAGCTGGAAAAATACTCTTTTTTTTTTAGTGTCACTTAATGGGTGGTAAAATACCAAAACACTCATCTTCATTATCATTCCCAAGGGAAATGGCAGGAGATATTTA